GCTTATAAAAATGACCGAAGTGAACCACAAAAGTAAGGGGAAAGAAAATGAAGCATAACAAAATCAAGTAAGTAATCCCCAAGCTGTAAATAAGCTACCCCCCACCCCCCCCCCCCCCAAGCTCAAATCCTAACATCAAGTAGGCATAGGAAGCAATTCCAAAGTAAAACAAGCAAGTAAAAGGAGGGTAGCTAGGAAGGAATCACTCAGCACTATGGTCAGGGGTAGAGTGGGTACTCCCCTCACTGGTCTCTGAAAACACACGACTAGAGATCGTAATATCACCCACCTCCAAAGGTGCCTTTCCCTTCATCCTACCCTCTATCCTAGCCTTATCCACTGCAAAGAAATGCGACCAATTATCCAAAATAGGCTCACCCGAAAATCCCCACTTCCCAAAAGTCTCGGGAGTTGGGAAAAGGCTTAGGGTTGGACGGGTCAAAATCAAAGTCGCATCCCCCTGGCCTCTTGTAGTCATAGGTGGTCGGGTTGGTCCCAAGAATAGCATTAGAAGGCACATGAGGCCCACCCAATAAGGATAACAAAGAGATGGTCCATGGTTTGGATCATAAGGAACCCATTAAGGAATGGGTCCTTGTTGGACCGAGAGGTAAGGGTAGTTCAAACAGGGTTCGATCTCGCCTCTAATAACATGAAAATCATAAACTTGACGAGCATGGTAGTTGTTTGGGGTAAAAATTACCCCTGCCACGTGGCCTAATGAGGGACCGACACGTGTCACCCTCTTAAAGGCCCAGAGGGATCCAATCAGAGGATGCCACATGGCATTGTACCCCCAATGGGGGAGCAAATTCTCATCTGCTATACATAGAGGAAGCATCCTCATTTATTGGACATTTACAAATACAAACACGAATCCCGAGCAATATTAATTGCGTAATCTCTCTAAATCAGTGAGAACAACCTACTTACTTTCCGCACGTTTACTTATCCGGAATCATACTAACTTGATCGTCGGAGGCGGAACTCCACCCAACCGGAGTTTCGTGGTTTTGCAGGTACAGACGTTAAGCGCGCATACTCCGTATTGTAACTCTCCCGAGGGATTCCAAAAATCCCCGAAACATTTCGCGCCGTCTGTGGGGAGAGTACTACTGAGAGGGCATCCGACACTGTACCGAATGCAGAGGGCATCCGGCCTACGACTGACCCTGAGGTCCACACGGACCATGAAAGTGGCAGTGGTGACGACTACGAAGTCGAAACCTACATGGCCCTAGACGGGTCATTTCGTTCCAGGCGCACCCGTTCCAAGGAAACAAGGGAACGGGGCAAAGACAAAGCTGGTCCCGGCAATCCAGGCGGCAAGCCTGTTGGACAACCCTAGGCGGCGGAGGGTGCTGCCCCCGTCACCAGAGATGAGCTCATGAAATTCATGACGAGTTTCAAAGGGCAAATAAAGGACAAAATCAAGAAGTCAATTGGCTCAAGTAAGGGTCAGTTGGCAAAGAAGCCTTCTCCCTCAGGGAAGAAGCAAATCAATGACCGGGTGCCTACTCTGCACCCCTAACCCAAGGGGACAGATGGGCCCCTGATCAACCTCTCTAAACTTCGTTTCCATGAATCAGGATCTTCACCCAGGAGAAGAGAAGTCAGCACATGTCTGAGTCGGCTTCAACATCGACTTACCCAGACATTTTACGCAATACTTCAATGAAGCATTCAGAGACGCATCAAGGGAGTCAGTCACGCGGCACGTCCGCACGTACTGGCCCTCACGTCATCCAGCAGGCTCCGTATGTGCCCCAACAGCCATACGCCCCGTATGGATCTCCATTCATGCAGTCGGCTCCCTTCGGGGGTCAGGCGGCATATCAAGTCCAGCCCATGGACTGGCAGCTCCGGGTACTAAACCTTGGGGAACAGCCTTCGGCTATCTCCCGGGAAATAACCGAGGCAGCACAGCCGGCTAAGGTTAAAAATGTGTTGGTCGGTACCTACAACGGTACCACCAACCCGGAAGACCACCTAATGGCGTACACCAACCTCATGTACCTACAGGAGTTGGATGATGCCGCCTGGTGCAGATGCTTCCCGGCTACATTGAAGGGCATAGCCCAACAATGGTTTGGCAACCTGCCAGCCGAATGCATCAATAACTTCAAGACGCTTACATATCTGTTCGCGTCCAATTTCTCCATGAGCATCCCTGCCAAAAAGACAAGTCTCGACCTAGGGGCTATTTAGCAGGGTGACAAGGAGGGACTTTGGTCCTATGTCAGGCGGTTCAATCTGATGAGAATTCAGATTCAAGGGCTGTCTGACGAAGTTGCATACACAGACTTCTTTAAGGGTCTGAAGGATGGGTCAACCTTCAAGTTTGACCTGGTCCGCAAGAGGGTTGTTACCCTCCAAAAGGCGCTGATGGAGGCCGAAGCCTATATACAGGCGACGGAACTCTACGCTGTCAAGCACTTGTCGGAACCCAAGAGGTCCGACAAGAGAGACAGCTGACCTACCCAGCCGGCCAAAAAGGAAGAAAAGAAGTCTAGGCAGCAGAGCGCACTGTCAGCCATCCCAAAAAAAACAAAGAAAGTTGGAACCGTACGTCCCCAAGTACGAGTTCAACAAAGACTGCTCCTCCATCCTCATGGAGATAAAAGACCGGTTGACAATTGAGAAACCGGCTGCGATGAAGAGCTTTGTCAAGAACAGAGACAAGAGCAAATATTGTCAGTTCCATGAGGATGTCGGCCACGACACCAATAGTTGTTATAGCCTCAGGCGGCTATTGGACCGTCTGGCTGACGAAGGGGATTTGAAATCCTACCTGGTGAAGTCCAAGGGCAACCCCAAATCAAGCAGTGGACAACCGTCCAAAAAGCCGACTGCGAGCTCTGAAACTGATGAAGAGCACATCTTCACCATAGTAGGCGGCTTCGCAGGTGGAGGTCCTACCATCCGGGGCACCAAGGATAACATCCGGACGCTGTCCAACCCAGAGGATGAGGGCCACGCGTTAAACGACACCTTCCCTGAGGTCTTCATCTCTGAGAAGGATCGAGGCATGGTCAGGCGACCCCATGATGACCCCATTGTCATCGAATGCAAAGTTGCCAATCAACGAGTTGGCTGGATTTTAATTGATACTGGGAGCTCGTCTGACCTGATCAACTACCAGTGCTTGACGAAGCTCAAGTACAAGCTTAGCAGTATGCACAAGGCTCCTCACCCCCTAGTCGGCTTTGGGGGAGGGGTAGTGCATCCGGTGGGAAGGATTGACCTACCCATCCGGCTAGGGGAGAAGGGGGAAGGGAGGCACATGGTCGAAGAATTGACCACCTACAATCTCATATTGAGCCGTCCTACCCTCAACGAGTCCAAGTCAGTCATCATCCAATCCCTCGTGATGATTAAGTTTGACAGGAATGACGAGTCAGTCGGTGCCCTTCGCGGGGACCAAAAGACGGCTAGGGAGTGCTACCTCTCAAACGTCAAGTCGACTGCTATTGCAGCCGCCCATAATGAGGAGCCCGTCGACCTTGACGACGAGGAAGTCGCGCCTGCTCCCAAAGCAACCGGCAAAAAGAGAAAGGCGGACCAATTGGCCCCCGTCAGAAAAGAAAAATAGCAATCCCTGATCGGGGAAAGACCGGATGACTCCCGACCCCAGCCGGCTGGTGAGAGCATTGATGTCGTCCTGGACGACAGCCGCCCTGACAGAACCGTCAAAGTTGGGACGGTTGCTTTTGAAAAGTTGGGGCAGACTTGCTCCAACTTCTAAGAGAGTTCAAAGGTATATTCGCCTTTGAAGTGGAGGAACAAGCTCGCCGTTGACCCTAAAAAGAAGTAGGTTAGGCAAAAGAAGAGGGATCATGGTAAGGAGAGGTCTCGGGCGACAGCCGCCGAGGTAAAAAAGCTCCTAGATGCCGGGCTCATTCAGCAATGTCAATACCCGGACTGGGTAGCAAATGTTGTCCTTGTCAAGAAACCGAATGGTACCTGGCGGATGTGTGTAGATTACATAGATCTGAACAAGGCATGTCCGAAGGATAGCTATCCCCTTCCTAAGATCGACAGCCTAGTCGACTCTACAGCCGGCCATGCCTTGATGAGTTTCATGGACGCCTACTCAGGCTTCCATCAGATTCCCCTATGGAAGAAGGATCAGGAGAAGACGGCCTTTGTCACTGATCAGGGGTTGTACAGCTACACGGTGATGCCGTTTGGGTTGAAGAATGCGCCTGCTACCTTCGAACAAATGATAAACATGGTTTTCATCAATCAAATCGGAAGAAACATAGAGGCGTATATTAATGACATGATAGTCAAATCCAAGCTACAGGCGGATCACCTAGCCGACCTCCGAGAAACCTTCACCACCCTCAGGCGGCACAAGATCATGCTTAATCCTAAAAAGTGTGTCTTTGGTGTTGAGTCTGGGAAGTTTCTCGGATTTCTGATTGATCAAAGAGGCATGGAGGCTAATCCGGAGAAGGTACAGGCGGTGATTGACATGAAGTCACCCTGCACCGTCAAGGAGGCCCAGAAGCTAACCGGTTGCCTGGCGGCATTAGGAAGATTCCTCAGCCGGTTAGGTAACAAGTGCCTATACTTCTTCCAAGCAATCAGGAAGAGGTCCAGATTTGAATGGGTAGAGGAAGCTGAGGCGGCATTTCAAAGGTTAAAGCAACACTTGCACTCTTTGCCAAGGCTAGTGACACTAGGCGAAAATACGAATTCCCCACCGGTTCAAACCCCCCTTTTCGCACCGGTTTTGAACTGGGCCAGATTTGGGGGGGGGGGCTAAAACCCCATAGATTTCGCACCGGTTCTAGGTGCGAACCGATGCAAAAAACCACACTTTTCGCACCGGTTTTGACTTAAAACCGGTGCTAAAAGTCCCCAAAATTATTTTTAAAAAAACTTTTAGCACCGGTTCTTTCAAAAACCGGTGCCAAAAATGCCCAAGAAAAACAAAAAAAAAAATTATTTTTTTGCATTTTTTTCACTTAAATTATACCAAATACCTATATATATAATCATAATATACTAAAACACATATATTTTCTTCAATAACTTGTAATATTACACTTTAAAAAACTGAAGAAAAAAAAATACAGAATCAAGGTCTGGAGAAATTGTTGCTTGCTAATGCTTTCTGTTTCTGGCTGCTTAGGTCTGGTTCAGGCTACTAGTTCTGTTTCCTGCTCTTTCAGCTGCTGTTTGGTTTATGGCCTGGTTTTGCAAATCCTATTGGCTATCTACTGGCTGTTAGCTGTTGTCTGGTGGTGCTGTGCCTGCCTGGTGCTGGCTGTTGCTGCTGTTTTACCTGTCAAACTGAGTTATAGAAACGAAATTGTAAAAAAAATTATAAGTTGTCACGTTTCATGTCCTTAATAATATAACCTATCATCATCTTCTTCATCAATCATCCTTTCTAACAAAACTACAGTAACAATAGCTAAAACCTGCACATAATTAAAACAACAGATACAACAGATCCAATGCAAGATAGAACTAGGCATGAGGTTGATCAAATAAGTATCAGCCAATAGATAATCACCCTAAAATCTAATTGGTAAACTAGCATGAAATCTAATAGCTCAAGCAGTCTCAAGGAGATGCTTATGTTTCCTTTCAATTCCATTGTCAGTACATTTATGGTATAGCTTGTAGCATGTATACCCTATAATATCTCTGGCCAACAAGTTCCATAAAGAAGTTATAGTGACAAAGTAATTGGTTCGGTTTCTTGTTTAGAATTAATTTAATTTGAATACGTGTGTGTTTTTCGCATGCCCATATCTCCCTCCTCCATCTACCACAACCTTTGTTCATCATCACTCATTTCTCCAAAAACTTTAAAAATTGGACTTTTTATTCAAATTCAAGCTAAACATGTATAACAAGACACTTTTTTTTCCTCATGCTATGTGAGCTGGTATTAGTCGTATATTAAGATAATTGAAAGATCTTTATGAGTCATTGGAGAGTTTGGAGGAATGATGTTAACTTGGAGCAATGATGTTGGTTCTGCTGATACATTTAAACTGTTGGGTTTGTTATATCTAGATAACCTGTTAACTATCTTTAAGCGCTGGTATACCACTACCACTCTATATCAACCAAACTAATCTCTAATATAATCCTAAACTAAATAAAGGACAGACAGCAGTACCAAATACACCAAGGAAAGCATACAACTCTGCTCACAAGGGAAAGATCATGTTTTTTGGGCATACACATGCATATGAAAACAAGGAAACTACTAATATCAGAAGATCCTTTGAGGTAGATTATCAATTCATTTAAGCTTTTATATGAAGCATCATTTGACTAGGTTGAGCAATATCTATGAAATGCTTACTAATATCAAACAGAGAAGTATAATCCAGAATTTAGGAATCTCTTCTTGCAAATGAAATCTCCTCATAGTATATAAGATAAAACATCTCAATATATGGCATGTGCACACTGTCATTAAGTAAACCGAAACCTTCAAACCTAATTTTATTTTACAAGCAAAGAAAAATAACTCTCCAAGTTAACATATACCATAAAACATATAAAATGGTCTGTAACAAACTAATCATATCCAATTAGTAATGTCAACTTACCACAAACATTGATATTTGTGTAGAAGAGCCATCAGCCCCTTCAGTAAAGATCAAGACTTCGGTTAGTTTGCTGCTTATTTTCCTTTACTAGCCAAGGTTGATTTCTTTCTAGATATAACCTCAGCAGCCTAGCTTTTTCCTAATTCAGTTTGAAACTTTCCTGAAAACTGTATAAAGTAACATTGGATATTAGCTATATGAGGTATGGAGCAAAAGGTTAGAGTACAACATTTCATGACAGAAAGCCGGGCTCACCAGCTGTTGACAGGTTGAACTCGTCAAGAACCATCCCATGCTCTGTCAAATAAATAAGAAAGCAAATATCAGACCTAAAAACTTCAATGTCAGTATGATGAGCTTAAGGTATGGACTTAATTGATGAGCTCAAGGTATGGAATTGGATCTTATATACACACCATTAACTTCTGGAAGCTGCTATCTGCTAGCTTTTAAAGAATGTTTCACCAGTTCAAATCATACCAACAATCACATTTTCAGCTTTGAATATGGGACTCTAGAAACACTAAAAAAGGGTCTCGACAAACTTTTACTTATTATGCACAATTACAGAAAAAATTAAACACAGACTAACATAAGGACTCAATTCTTGGTCATTTATACATGACTAAAAGGGTGACTCCTGTCAAACCAACAATGACATATGAAACATAAGTTGTAAGCTCAAACATAGTGTAAAATGTCAATACAAGACTGATCATCATACGTCTAGTAGCTAAGTCTGTGAGCTAGTGATCACTAAAACCAGATTGGGAGCATTATATTTTTTGGAAAGGTAAAATTCACACATAATCAACCCAGCTGACTCAATTAACCCTTTATATCTAAACTAGGTAAGTCTCAAACCCATCACAACCACTTCCGCATCCGGGAACCACTAGCTCAAGCCACTGCCAGTCATCACACTATGATTGAGAATTGCATCATTTGCAGGAAATTGAGTCACATTAGTAGCTACTTTTTTAGGAAAACCAGAACCTAAACCACTTCCTTGTGGTCCAGTCCACCGGTGTGGATATCTAATGATTTTAAAACATTGATCCTTAGTATGGCCTCTTCTCTTGCAATATTCACAAATTGCATCACATTTCAGTTTCTTGAAATCCTTCCTCTACGATAGATATATTAGTCAATTTTTGCTATTTTTAGTTCTATTTGTTGCAAGGTATAGCATGTCTTATTGAGGTTTGGCTAACGATGATCTATAACGGTAAACCTACAAAAAATTAGCTTTAATGATTTAGTAGGCTGTAAGGAAACGCACAAAATAACAGAGCTGAACTAAAAAAATGGGTTGCAGTCATTGCAGATTTTAGAATTCCAGACAGTGTAAACTACAAAGAATACAATCCAACTGCAGCAGGCCACAAAACATAACATGCTAAGGATTGTTGGTTGATGTTAGCAGATCCCATTAAAACATACTCATCATCAACAATCATTCCCTTTGCATGTAAATAGATCATAAATCTGCGGTACTTGTATGAATCTGAAATCTGATAGAATCATGTTGTCAGGGAACACATATTCAGCTTCATTTAATTTAAAAAACTATCAATATATCACCTATCTAATGATCAACTTAAAAATTGAAACAAAAACAGACGAAAGTCCTAACAATTTCAAGCATAACAACGAGCAAAAACGCAGATTGATTACTAAATTAAGCATCACCAAATTAAAGTTTACTAAACCGAACACAAAAATCTAGCAGTGTAATAATCTCACCCATAAACTGAAATACAAACCCAAAAATCTCAACGAAACACGAAAATCTATAAATCTGACAATTTAATAACACAACATCACCAGCAGATAAAATTTCATTACTATTCAACCAAAAACAGAGAAATCTTCAAAACTTAAAACTTAAAACTCAAAAAAGCACATATTTTTATGGTTATTTGTTTCAATTATAAAATTATGCTCGAAAAATAACATATTTTAAGGGATGTTTGATTCAATTATCAAATTAGGGTCAAAAATTCAGAAGGAAATTTGATTCAAACATAAAAAAATAGGTGAGATTTCAAACCCTAAACTTACCGCATTGACAATTAAAATGAATCAGATAAAACATAAACCCTAGATTTGCGGTGCTGCATGTAATTGAGTGATTTGCGGTGCTGCATGTAATTGAGAAAGGAACATTTTCTATGAAGTAATATTGAATTAAAATAGAAAATCAAAAAACCCTTGGGTTCCGAAAACATGAAATTGTAAATTTGAGCAAAACAAAAACTCAAAAACCACAAAATAATGAAATTATTTAAAGAGAAAAGAAGAAAAAGGCACTAACCTTCAGGAAAAATCATTTCGGGAGGGGGAAACGACGAGAGGTGGGTTTGACCAGCTCCTTGCGCCACTACCGACGTTGCTAGGACCGACTGACGCGCCGACAACATGAAAGAGGAAGAAGAGAAAGAAGATAAGGAAGGAGCAGGAGCTCGTTGATTTTAGGGTTTGTTTAAGGAGAGAGGAGAGATAAACGGCGTTGAGGAAATAGAAAGAAAGAAGAGGGGAATGAAAGAGAAAGAAGGCTCAATGGCTATTTGTTTTTTTTTTTTTTTAAAATTTCGCACCGGTTTGAACCGGTTCTAATAACATCATTTCGCACCAGTTTGGTCTGAACCGGTGCGAAATCCCTTTCTCCCTTTTTTTTCTCTTTTTTACAAACTGGTGTGAAAAAGATGATTTCCCACCAGTTTATTAGGAACCGGTGCGAAAAGTATTTTCCCAAATCCCGCCCATTTCTTTTCCCACCGGTTTTCAAGAACCGATGCGAAAAGTGCGGTGCCTATTTCATTTTTTCTACTAGTGTGAGTCCCCTGCCTAAGGAGGTTCCCTACATGTACCTAGCCGTCTCAGATCACTCCCTTAGTGCTGTTCTCCTTGCTTAGAGAGACGGCAAGCAGCTCCCGGTGTATTTCATCATCCATATACTCAGAAATGCTGAGCTCCGGTACCCAATGATCGAAAAATTTAGGCTGGCTCTTTAAAAAGCAGTCAAGCGGTTGAAGCCCTACTTCTTGGCTCATCCGGTGATTGTCTATACTGATCAGCCACTTAAGCGTCCAATGACTACTATAGAGTCATCCGGTAGAAGAAGAATAAGGGGAAGAAGGGCTCCTCCTCTAATTCCAAGAAGAAGCGTGGTCCAAAGCCAAGAACTCGATTGAATGCAAGAATCGGCCAAGGTAAAGATGGTGATGTGGTGTCTGAAGTGAGCTGGTTGGATGCTGATGAGAATGAGAGGGGTAATATGAAGGGGATTTCGCCTGAGGAGAAGGAACTTCATGCAAGCCAATTCAACCAGTGGCTTCAGGTAATCCACCATAATTCCCCTGTTTTCAATGAAAATTTCAATGGAACAGTGAATTTTCGAACTCAAAACTCTTCTGAGCCTGTGAACCCGTCTCCTTTGATGATGATTAAGGATAGTAATGTGGGTATTAATATTGATAATCTTGGTCCGAATGTGGGTATGGCGTCGAATTCTCGAATTAACCCCCAATATTTTGAGACCCCTGTTTCTAGGGTTCCTGATGTTATTGGAAGCATGGGGTCTAGGAAATGGAAAGAATTGTTCAGTAACACAAAGGATGAGGGATGGGATTTATCAGTGCTGGAGAAGGTGCGAGGACATGATGATAGTCAGAATGTTGATAATGGTGGGAAGATGCAACTAACCCCTGATGATGTCAATCCAGAGATCGAGTTCTGGAACTCTGCTATAGTTTGTTATGCTTTGGGTGCAAGGGTTCCTTACTTTGTGATGAATGGATTTGTTAGACGAATTTGGGGGAGATTGGGAATTGACAGGGTAAGTATGCTGGCAAATGGAGTCTATATTGTTAGATTTCGAAAAGGATAGTAGAGAGAAAGTGATGAATGTTGGGCCTGTATTTTTTGATGGTAGACCTATTGTAATGAAGAAATGGGAACCTGGGATCTTCCTAGAGCATGAGAAAGTTTCTTCTGCTCCTATCTGGGTTAGATTACCTGGATTACAGCTTAAGTTCTAGGGCTAAAGTTCATTGATGAAGATTGGGAGTCTGATTGGGAAGACTATTAAGACTGATAAATCTACTGCTTCTAAAGAAAGACTAGCTTTTGCTCAATTGATGGTGATATGCCTGATGAGATTGAATTCCTTGATGAGATTGGGAATATTGTGCACTAGAAAGTGGTCTATGAATGGAAGCCTGTTAAGTGTAAGGTATGTTCTGGTATAGGACACTCTGATGAGAACTGCCCTAATCATAAAGTTAAGAGGAGAACCAGACAAAAGGATAGGGCTCAAAATACCTTTCCTAGCCAGAAATCTTAGCAACCTGTAAATCGGGGTAAAACTGGAGCTAATCAAAACAATGTCAAGGTGAATGTGGAAGTGGGTAATAGCTTTGACTTCCTTGTGGAGGATGAAGAGATGCCTACTGAAAAGAACAGTAGACTGGAACAGGAGAGAGAAGCATGTAACAGATTATGTAGTATTGCTAAAGGTAGGGTGTTGTATGGGGGTTTGGAGGAAGGGGAGTGCTCTTACTCGTTACATGGATAATATAGGGTTTTGGAATGTGAGAGGTTTGAATAAGCTCAATAAAAAGTGTGATGTCTCTTAGTTCTTGAGCCATAACAACTTGGGCTTATTTTGACTTATAGAAACTAAAGTGAAAGCTAAGAAGTTTGGAGAGGTTTTTCATAGTTTTGGTGACTCATAGTCTGTTATTGCAAACTATTCTAAAAGTGATAAGGGTAGGATATGGGCTATGTGGTTAACTGGAATCTTCCAGGTGAGAGTGATTAGAGTGGAAGTGCAACTTGTTCATTTGGCTGTTATTCATAGAGCTTCTGGTAGAGAGTTCTTGGTTACTGTAGTTTATGGTTTGAATGATCCTAAGGAGAGGATGGAAATTATGGGGACAACTGTCTGAGATTGCTGTAGGCTCTAGTATCCCGTGGGTAATTGGAGGGGACTTCAATAATATTTTGAATTTGGAAGACAGGATTGGGTCTCCATGCACGCTGAAGGAGGTTGGGAATTTTAGAGAATACTTAAGGCAGAATGACCTTACTGATTTTAAAGTGGGGGGAATATTTTACACCTGGTATAATAAACAGGAGGGGGGATAGGGTATGCACTAAAATTGATAGAGTTTTAGTGAATAATGACTAGTTAGACAAGTTTGATCAGTCTTTTGCTACTTTCTTTCCTGAAGGTTTGATGGATCATTGTCCTTGTTGTATTAATATCTTTGGGGTGAATGAGAGAGCTATGAAGCCTTTCAAGTTTTTCAATCATTGGGTAGAGGGTCATGGTTTTAAAAATCTTGTTCAACAGGAGTGGGACACTGAGATTAGAGGAATAGCAATGTTTAGAATGGTTAAGAAGCTTCAAGCTGTCAAGAAGGCTCTCAAGGCTCAGAACTTTACCTCTTTGTCTTCCATTGAATCTGATGAGGAGAAGGCTGCTAGAAGTTTGATGAGTGTTCAACAGAAGCTGGATTCTGATCCTTGTAATGAAAACCTAATTTCTGAAGAGAGACAGGCTAGGACTGTTTACTAGGCTGCTCATTCTGCTAAATATAGCTTTCTCAGGCAAAAGGCTAAACTCCACTGGCTGAAAGATGGGGACTTAAATACTGATTTTTTTCATGCTTATATAAAGAAGAGAAGGGTGCAAAACAGGATATGTAGTGTGATGAGCTCTAAGGGCCAAGTAATTCAGGATCCTGCTGAGGTTACCAGTGCTTTTGTTAACTATTACCAGAGCTTGCTCGGTACTGGCTCTATAGCTGAAAAAACTGTTCACTTAGGGGTCATTGGTGAGGGGAAGGTGTTGAATCTGGAACAGCAGGAGATGCTTTGCAGTCCTTTCACTGAAGCTGATGTCAAGGCTGCCCTATGGAGTATTTATGATAATAAAGCACCAGGACCTGATGGCTTTTCAAGTAAGTTCTTTAAAGCTTCTTGGGATACCATTAAAAAGGACCTGTGTAAGGCTGTTTTATCCTTCTTTGAACATGGATGTCTCCTTAAGCAAGTAAATAATACTGTCTTGACTATGGTTCCTAAAGTAGAGAATGTTGTGTATGTGACTCAATACAGACCTATTGCATGTTGTAATGTGATATACAAACTGATTTCTAAGCTTCTGTGTTCAAGACTGAAACTTGTGCTTCCTGAGTTGATTAGTGAAAATCAGGGCGCGTTTGTGGGGGGAAGGTCTATTATGGATAATATACTGGTTTGTCAGGACATGATTAAGAACTACAATAATAAAAGGAAAGCTGCCAGGTGTACAGTCAAGGTGGACTTGAGGAAAGCATATGACTCAGTGCATTGGTCTTTTATCAAGGATATGTTGATGGCTCTAAATTTCCCTACTCAGTTTGTTAGATGGGTTATGGAGTGTATATCCACCCCCTCTTTCTCTATCGTGATAAATGGAGGGATGCATGGGTTTTTTAAGGGGAAGAGAGGGGTTAGACAGGGTGATCATGTTTATCCCTTGCTGTTTGTAATTGTGATGGAATACATGTCTAGACTCCTCAAGAAGGTGAGCAAATTAAGAGGTTTTAAGTTTCACCAAGGATGTAGACAGCTGGGGTTAACTCATTTAGTCTTTGCTGATGACTTGATGCTTTTTGGGCATGGTGATAAGAGGATTTTCTCTCTGTTTGTGAGAGCTTTGAGAACTTTTGAGAAAGTTTCTGGTCTGTGTGCAAACTCTGATAAAACAGCTGTTTATTTTGGAAGCATGTAAGAGGGACTGAAACAGGATATTCTAAGGGACACTGGCTTTGTTCAGGGGGCTTTTCCATTCAGATACCTTGGTATCCCTCTCAATGCTAAATACTTGAAGATTTCTGATTTTGACAGTATTATAGACAAGATGCTTACAAGGATTACTTGTTGGACTAGTAGGAATCTCTCCTACAGTGCTAGAGCTACCCTTATTAATTCTGTGCTGATTAATCTTCATACCTACTGGGCTCAATGTGTGTTATTGCCTAAGGGTGTAATTCAGAGAATTACACAACTTTGTAGAGCTTTTCTATGGGGGGGTACTGCTGTCCTTGGTTGTGTGCCTTCTATAGCCTGGGAATGGGTCTGTAAACCTAAGAAGTATGGGGGATTAGGGATTAGAGATTGTTGTTCTTGGAATAAGGCAGCCTTGGGGAAGTATATTTGGCAAATTTCTACTAAGAAAGACACCTTATAGGTTAAATGGATTCATAACTTGTACCTGAAAGAGCAGAACTGGTGGACTTATAATCCTAAAAGATGTGATGGCTGGGCATTGACAGGCGTTATTTTAGGTCGTTACTAAGACACCTCTATCAAATGATATTTGTACTCCTAAACATGCAACTAAAAGAGCATAGAGGCAAGTTAAGGGTCGAACACAGGGAAACGATTAAGCACCGCTATTTATCTCCTAATGTTAATCTAATTCAATCAAGAAGTATGGTGGGTAAAGTAATGACTAAAGGGGATAGAATAACAATTAAAACAAGCACTAGGGG